AGTCTCATTCATTCCTTATCCTGTCTCAGTCCAGCCTAAGATAACCCATCACCTATCTTGAGGCAGTGACCTCTGCCCTTACAGAGGTGGCTGGAAAGAAGGGTGAACAAGACCCACAGGATGGGGCTGTGCAAACATGTGCCCTCACATCCTCTTCAGAACAAGTTTCCTGAAGCTTATCCATGCCTCCTACCCCTGAGGGTGCTGCCCATGAAATCTCTGTTGGTGAACTCCAGAAAGCTCATAAGTCTTGGTCTAAGATGATGGCACTTGTTGAAAATTCCTCTTACATTTATGTCCTCTTAGTATTATATTCAAGGACACACCTGAAATAGTTTGCTTGAGTTTGAACTCCTTCATTTGCCAGCTCCAAGCTATATTGCTGCAGTTCTTTTAATTCACAAGTGTGTGCCACTGTAAAGTGAGGGTAATAATAGTGTCCCATTTGGGGAGGGTCATTATGAGAATTAAATGAAATAATGCATATGTAGAATTTGGTATTGCACAAAGTTAAAAATTCAGGGGCTGGGGATGTGGCTCAAGTGGTAGTGCGCTCGCCTGGCATCGCAGGACACAGGGGTTCAATCCTCAGCACCACATAAAAATAAAATAAAGGTGTTGTGTCCACCGAAAACTAAAAAGTAAATATTAAAACACACACTCTCTCTCTCTCTCTCTCTCTCTCTCTCTCTCAAAAAAAAAAATCAGTGTACATTGACAATTATTAAAATTTTTTGTTTTATATTTTTGGCTCCTAAACTAGATTATTTTTATACATGTATATGTACAACACTCATATGTGTAAATATAGCCCGAACTGAAGTTCCTAAAATGATCCCCTTGGTTATGATTAGTGCTAAGACTATATATTGCCCCAAATTTATCTCAATAAAGTAACAGCAAAAATGAACAAAAGGTTTATGCATCCAGCCATACCCCTTCAGCCAATCTACAATCTCAGTAACATGGGGTGGACTTCCCTAGTACTTCGTCATTCAGAAGTAGAAAGGTGAAAGAAAAATCTAACATTTCACCTACAAATTTGAAATCTTGTGGAATAAATTGAAAAGATAAGAAACACATCACATATTTTCTCCATTCTCATAACGGACTTATTGAATAAGTAGATAATTAAGGAGTACATACCATATTCCAGGTTGGGTGTGTACCTGTGTGTATATGTATTAAATGATAGATTAGGAGAGTTAAAATAGTTGGCAATTCTGAGAATTATTTAAATGTGCTAAATTAGAAGTTTTAGTGCAGAGTGAAAAACAATTTTAAGAACTAATTGCTCTTACTGAGTTATACACACACACACAYAYACACACACACACACACACRCAATTTATCATGTCCTAGTTAAGAACTAATCTTAGTAAGAATAATAGCACAATTCATAAAAATGGCAGGAGCCCCAATTTGAACCCCCATATTTGTTAAAGAGAAAGTTAAATTTGCAAAATAAGACTAAAAATCAAAAGCTAAAAATCAGTGGATCTTAAATTGCATCCAAGTGAGGAAGCCAAGGAGAAGTTAAGAGTGGCCCTGGATTCAGGGAGGAGGTGGTGACAGAAAGGCTGAGTAATTCCATTGCCCTGGTCTTTACAGAAGACTCTCCCTGGAACCTGACAAGCCAGTGGACAGAGATCAGATAGTGGTAAAGAAACAGGATGTCCCAGGCCTGGTTGATAATGCATTYGTAGATAAGTCACAGGCACTAGGGTATTTGCCTGCTGTCCTTAAAGGAACTCAAGGGTGACAACAAGACCTATTGAACAAAATGCTTAGCCTGTCACTAACAACAGCTACTGAGCTGCAAGACTTCAGTGGCAACATGGGCTTCTCTTTCCTAAAGGTATTAGATACAAGGTTAACATGAATTTGTAAATCCCAGCATATCAGAAACTGTAAAGGGCTTGCATTGATGTTTAAATGGCCTAAATTAAGGATGAATAGCSGAATTTATAAAATCTTTAACCGTTGTTAGAAAACTTAAAGAATTCACTACTCCTGAAGAAGTGTGTTAAAAATATATATCAATTCTAATTAAAAAAAGTAATTTATATATATCTCAATTCTACTTAAATCAGTTCAGAGATAATGAATCCAAATGAGAGCTAGGTGTTAGGGAACAATGACTTGGGGACCTTGGGCCCTTTGAGTATGACATTGGTGGGTGGGGATAAGTGTTCCCTCTGTCCTTGACACCTCTAGGCTGGGCCTATATGACAGGAGTCTTTCTTTTGTTCAAGTCTATCACCCTCACTTGAAGTCTTGGCTGTTTGGCTGTATGTATATTTAAAAAGCCCAGGACAGTCTGTGTGCTTCTCCATGTGATATACCTGTGCTGTTACCATCTTGCTTTCTCCTTCTTGGAAAGAAAGAGAAGAGTACAATATATTCTGCAGAGTTAAGAAACAGATACTACCTGCCCAGGGCAAGGAAGAAAGTGAGCTCACACTTTACCTTTGGCTTCCAGAAATACTAAGTGTTCCCAAAGGATCAAGTGCTGCTCAAACTGCTCCCTTCTAGCCCTCACTAATAGGTCTGGCTGTCCCTACGGAAGTGCTGTTGAATTCTCCACCATAGGATATAAGGCCATTGGGGAAGGAAGTGATTTCTGTAAACAATCATCCATTTATAGATTTCCTTTACCACCTGCCCCCATCCCCAACCAAAAGTAGTGAGGGCTTTGTGATCTCTGGAATAAGAGGTGATACCTACAACTTGCCAAAGAGAATAATATTTATGGTGTTTGCCATGACCTAAAAGAGATAAGGATCGGGACAATGRCAATATAAAATGGGGAGTAATGAAAGAGGTTGTCCTTCTTCTGGATGAAAAAAAAAAATGAAGGGAAGCCTGGTTATCTGCAGGTCATACACCTTAGCAAATTCCAACACAATGACCACTACAATGTCAAAAGGCCATATTCGAGAGCTACTTCCAAACATGGGGGAGTTGGCCCTGGACAGAAATAATGTAGTAACATAACCCTGGGAGGGAAATGTGTTTTCAGTTACACAAGGGCCCGGTCCAGCCTTTCCCACAGGCTCTTCCTAAATAGGAACTTGGCAATGGGATTAGCAGAGCTGGAGGGGACGTCCTTGGCTTTAGAGGTGAGGCCCATGAGGGTCCTGAGGAAAGTTGGGCAGAAGTTCTCCCTGCTATAATAGCACTGAAGAATCAGTGTCACATCCACTTTATTAATTTTCTTGACAGGCAGCTCTAGTTACCATGCAGGCACCACAAAATCAAAACATACACATGTCAAGTGGCCCCATCTGTGGTGGGGCCCTGCCAAGGCCCATGTCACATCAACATGAGGAAGCAGAGCCCAAMTCCTTGGACCACGTGCTTGGTCCCATGAGCAATCCCCTGCTGGAAGAAAACAACCAGAGCTTGGTTGAAAGAGGCAGAATTCTCTTGGTGACAGTCCTTTATCCTGGGTCTGGGCTCCCTGCATTGGGTAGAGTCCTGGGACACACAGCTGCATCTGGCTTTGGGACCTGTCTCTAAATACAGCCACACAGACCTCCCTGCTGCTGACRTTCGCACGCCTGCATTCAGTTTCATCCATGGAGGACAACAACAGCCTGGATTAAAGATGACAKTTAAAGGAATATGATGTCCTCATTTGTAAGTGGGGTCTGAGCTCAGAGTTCTGTTGATCAAAAACCAAAAGGCTTTTTTGGGGGGGCATAGAATAAGCATAGGAGAAAGAGGTTTTAAATCAACATATCAGTTACTATGAATATGGCTAATGTGATCGAAGGGACTTCAACATGAATTATTCTTTTAGGAGAGCAAAGCTAGCTATCTATGGGCTAAATAATCCCCTTTACAATTAGGTGGGTGTGAAGGGTAAAGACCCAGGAAAAAACCCTGCTCTAAGTTTCACACCTCGTAGATGCCCAGGGTGAGCACCAACACACCTGCCTCCTCATGTCCCCAACCATCTTGRTGTAGCAGTTTTTTTCCCTCATTGGCAGTGTACAGAGCAGTCAAAACAACAAAAGGATCAATCCTTTGACTTCAGAGTTTTTGACTCCCTTGGCAGGATCTCATTCATTTCTCGCCTTGACCAGTGTTAATTCTGCTTGTGGTACAACAGGAAGAAGAATGTAAACCCAGGTCTGGAGCTAATTGCCACCAGTACCAAATAAGAAATGCAGACCACAGTGGTTGGCCACTCTGACTGTCTAAACTAAGAACAGCCCAAGGACAAGGACTGGCATGACTGTTCCTCCACACTCCAGAAGCCTTCTAAAATTCTATGCCCTGGAAGCCACTCCTGATCAGACATGGCCTTTGAGAACAGAACTGGTCCTTTCTCTTCTCTCCTGAGCAGTGGCCAGCAGGTAGTAGCCACTCTGGAGACTGCAAAATGGCTGCCTAGTCATTTCCATGGGGTACCAAAGGGCAAGGAGATGAACACATCCTGACTGCCCCTCTCCCTTGTAAAGGACCCAGTTCACCCTTTCATTATCCATTCAAATAGCCATGGCATGTCAGCCTTGCCGGCCGCCTTGATTGTGCAGAAATAAATAAATGAATTATGTTGTTGGGGTTTGGGCTGCAGCACAAACACATGGTCTGCATTTATCCGCACAGTGAGAGGTCCACCAGCCACTTGATATAAAAGAGCAAAATGATAATTCTTTTCTTTAGGCGCTSTGGTGCCATATGGAATGTATATAAATCATATTTTTGTTTTAACAGCGGAGGCTTTGTTGATAGATAAACATGTGGTTTATCTAAAAAAAGAGAGGATGGTGCTTTGAACAATCATTTAATGGCCGTGGATGTGCCAAATAAAAATAAAAACATAATTTTGAAAAGAGCTGGCCCCTTGCCCAAATCCGTAACAAGGAATTTCTCCTTAACCAAAGTGGTTAAAGCCCGTCGATCTGTTTTGAGTTTAAGCTGTGCTCTCTACTCAACCCCACGACAAATGGAATCCTGGGCTAATGTGCTCTAATAAGACAAGACGTTACCTTTATGAATGACCTCATGGAGAAGAGATTGGCGAGCATCGTGGAGAGGCCTTGAGCCAGGCAGCTCTGGGCTATGAAACCCAACTTCAGCTCCGCGAGACAGATTGCGTCATCGCCCTCTTTCCAATTCCAGCTAGGGATGTTTAGCAGATGGGCCTGTGGAAACAAAAACAGGTATGAGACCTCACTTTGTTACATATTCAATTGTTCAGTCTCTTCTGGGAAATGCAGCACTGCCCAAGGACTCAGGGTCATCCGGACTTGTTCTTCCTTTCCTTTGCTCTGGTCTGATGTTTGGTGTTTTGTTCAAAACTTCTGCTCATTGGACTTCAGTCTCTTTTCAATATCACTTCTGCATCCAAGGGCCCAAATCCTTCCCTCTGGTTTGTCATTTATCCAAATAGAGCCCAGGGGAATTTTATCTTATCACAGACACATAGGCCCTCATCACTAGGATATCTGGCTAGGTTGTTCATAAAGTGGCTCCTCAAATGGACCACAAGACTGATTTCTGTTTTTGCAAATCTTCCCAATACTCTACATCAGTGACTACTGAACTTGAGTGGGCAGTAGAATTAACAGCAGGGTCTGTAAAAATCTTGGCCCACCCCCTTGGGTTTCTGATTTGGTAGATCTGGGGTGGAGCTGAGAATTTGCGTATCTGACTTGCGGGAGGCTAAGCTGATGCTGCTGGTCATAGGCCCAYACATGGAGAACCACTACCCTGAATCATCAGGTAAATCATAGTGTAGATGTCCTACAAACTCTTGCAGACAGACTGGTCCTGTTCAACAATTAGGTCAGATCCAGTGGCACATTCATGTAATTATTTTTCAAGTGGTAAAAAGCAGAGAGTCTTGGATAATACAATGAATGAAAAGAAAGAAAGGAAGGAAGGAAGGAAGGAAGGAAGGAAGGAAGGAAGGAAGGAAGGAAGGAATCCTTCAGCGATTGAAAAAAAAATCAACAAAACACCAAACAGAAAAAAATTTAACAAAGCCTTAATGTTGAATATGGCATTTAGGTTCCAAAAAATCAATTATATAAATTCAAAATGAGAAGACCTAACTTGGCAGTAGACCTGAGAGAAACACACACACACACACACACACACACACACACACACAGTGCAAAATTTAAGTGTGTGGGTAACTAAAACCTCACATAGAGGCCATGTGACACATTACAGAAAAAGCCAATGTTTGCTTGTTAGAAATGGTCTCCAAAGCAAGGGAAATGAACATTTCATTCTGTTGTGAATGGGTCAGACTAGTTCCAGAGAACCTGACCCAGTTTTTTAATAGTCAGATATAAAATGGGAAAAATGATTGGCTGAATGACTTCCAGAGAACAATGACAAAGACAAGAGGGGATAAGTGATCTGGAAAAGATCTTTTGAGGAACAGTGAACAGAGCCAGAAACCTCAGGTCTAAAGAAGGGCCACGCCCTCATGGAGGCAGGGCAGTGCCATCTGAATGCCTCAGGTGCTATCACATTGAGATTAGGTTTTTTTCCAGGAGCTAGAATTAGGACTGACTGGTATATATTACAATTAAGCAGTTTTTTTGGCTTGTTTCATAAAGAAACTTTTAAAGGGTGTAATTTGTCCAATAAATGGAGAAGTCTACCTTGATAAACACAGGGTCTTTTTTCCTAAGACTTAGTAAATATTTCYCAAGTCTCTGCAGAAAGAACTCTTACTTTCCATGGGAGGTTGGGTCAGAGAGTCCTTCTAAGTTCCTGCACATGCCAAGATTCTAAGACTCTGAAATTACTTCTCTCTGTGCATCAACAAACACAAGGAGGCTTCCCTCCAGTTGTAATAGAAGGATGCAAGACTCCATTGTAGAAAGAATGAGCAAGGCCAAGGGTTCCATGTTCTACTTTCAAAAACACCACACATGTRAAATTCCTTCTTGCAAAATCCACTCTGGTGACAATCTTTTGAGTCCTAAGCCAGCAGTGGTTACTGCTGGGAGAGATGGCAGTATTACCCCCAATGAGAGCATTGTTAAAATAGTCGTGTGTGTGGGCCACAGCAGATGGTGATGTCTGTCAAGTGGAGTACCAAGGGACCTTCCCCACATCATACACTTAATTCCAACAATGAACCCTACCCTTTATTCCATTCCTCTCCCTAGTCTTCTCTAACTAAACAATGCAAATTTTTCCCCTTTACTTCTCTGGCATTGTAGACAATGCATTAATTTTAAGTGGAGAAATGCTCATTTTCAGTAACATCATCTGAGAGGAATGAAAAGAAATTATATATAAGTAATGAACTTGTTTGTGACGGGATATTTGGGTGGTCCCAGCCCTAAAGAGACACCACTCCATACCATCTTCAAACAAACAAGAAAAACCAGAAAGTCCCTCATATCCTCATGTATCATCCAGGGTATGAACCCGGGCATTTCACTCTTGGCCCCTCATGCCCCATCTGGTTTGAGTTCTTTGGACATATTTTATGTGTTATTATATAGGAAAGTCAAGCTAGTTTCAGGATTCCATAGCCTCCTTTCTTGGTCTTCATATTTTCACCAGTCATGGGACAAGAAGTGAAGCTAATGTGCCAATGGCCAGGAAGGAAATCTGTGCGCATGAAGCAAAGAGAGGATTTTGACCCAGGAATGCAAACTCTTTGTTTCTGGAAACTTTGCCTTCTTTCATTTGAGGGAATCTGGGTGTGTGCAAATGCTAGCATCAACCCACAGGAGTCTTGAGGAGAATCCTCTCTAATCTGGAGAAGAGAAATAGCAGGTCCAGCACAACCAGAACCTTCCCCCGTTTCTGCTACTGGATTGCACTTCATTCTTATGGGAGGAGACCCTGKGGTACCGCATTCCCTTCAACAGCACATCCCCAATGACCTAAGGCCTATCAGCTGTCCTGGGTAATGAGGAAAGATGAATTCCAGTCCCAGTTCCATCTCTTACTATACATTCAATCATGGGGGAGTACCACAAGGAAAGACAGAATGCCAAAGAAGAGGAACTATCTTCCTTCTATCGTTTGGATCTCAAGTGTCTCCCAATGGTCCATATGTTAGAAGCTTGGATCCCATGTGGTGAGAAAACCTCTGGGAGGCGGGGGCCTACTGATAGGCCTTAGGTCATTAGGGATGTGCTCTTGAAGGGAATGCGGTACCCCAGGGTCTCCTCCCATTTTGCTTCCTGCTCCACAACATGCTCCTATAGTGACATGTTATCCTGTCCTACAGGCTCAAAGGAACAGGATTAAATGAACACAAACTAAACCCTCCCAAACAGTGAGCTAGTAGAACTTGTCTCTTTGTAAATTGTGTCAGGTGTTTTGGTTTGAATGTGAGGTGTCCTCCAAAACCTCCTGTATTCATGAAGGAATATTTAGAGGTGAATGATTAGATTATGTGTGTTGTGACCTAATTCATCCATCCCAACTTGAATGGATGTGGGGCATGGCTGGAGGAGGTGGGTCACTGGAGACATGCCCTTGGAAATTATATCTTTCCCTCTGGCTTCTCCCTCACTCTGCTTCCTGAATACCATAATGTGAGCAACTCTCCTTCGCCTCCTTCAGCCATGATACACTGCCTCATCTCAGGCCTGGAGCAATGGAACTGGCTGACCACAGACTGAACATCTGAAACTGTGAGCCAAAACAAACCTTTCCTCCTTCAAGTTGTTCTTGTCAGGTATTTTGGTCATGGTGACAAAATGTTGACTAGCACATTCAGTGTTTATTAGTGACAGAAGGATGACTAATACAACTACTGCCCAAGCAGAAGGGTTGATAGGAAGATAGCTTAAAGAGCCTGCATTGGGCCACTGGGACTTGGTTTCCAGGACAGAGACAAAGGCTCTATAATTCACTGGGAAAATAAGAAATATATTAATAAGGTAAGACATTAGGAGTGACACTTTTCCAAGTCTTCATAACTATCCTTTCCTTGAAGAGCTTCAAGCCATTGATGCTTAAATCAGAAGATGTCATATCTTTCTTCTCTTTCAGAAATGGCCAGATTGAAAGTATCTCTCCATGGAACCTAGATATACTGAAGAGACCCAGTTGGGAGAGCACCAGCTGTTTTACAAGCCCACACTCAGGAACCACAGTTTGATTCATTGGGCTGCGACTCCATTTAAGAGAAGATGGCAGTTGGCTATTCCGTCTCCTAGCTCTCTGACTGCCGAGTGACCATGATTTGTGCCCACCAGAGTTGCTTTGCCTATGACAGAGCTTAGACCCCCTGGTCTGAAGTTACCCTGGGATGCTACAATGCACAGATGGTACAATGAGGACTAAATGAGATAAGGGATGTCAAAGCTCTTTTAAAATCATTAAATGGGACACAAATGTCTGCAATTATTATGATGACAAACTCAGGGCCAGTTTTATAGGGAGACAAAGTAGGCCGTTTCCCTCCTTCCCTGTAGCTCTAGAATATAACCATCATTACCTCATAAGGGATTGACATTCTTTATATTCCAAGTCTGATGTCCAATTATGGAATCAACTACCCCTTGGAATATGTAGATAGTGACATGAGTTTTCACACGTATATCAGATCTTCTCTGAAAGCAAGTTTCAATAGGTAGAGATCTATGGGTGCCTTGGATGGGTGCAGAGAAGGTACCAAGAGAAAAGGAAAAAAATATTGAAAGAGAAGAGGAAGAAAAAYATGGTAAAAGGGCAAGTAGAAGCATGTCAGGCCAACTGTGAAGCAGAGTGTAGGATGTCTATTTGGAATCCTACAGGAATGAGATGGCAGAAAATGACAAGTGGACTTTTCATTCCTTCTTCAAGAGGAAAAATAAAATAATGGAGGAAAAATACCCTGTGCCAAAGTCACTCCTCCTCTTATGTCCTTACTAATCTTACAGGACTCTGTAACTGATTTTGCCTAATCCTGAAACCCAAATATACTGAAATGGTTCCAAAGAAAATGAGTTTTAAGCAAATAGTGGGTCTGCTGATGTATTCATCTTTGTTCCTGGATAACTGCAGTGGAGAGGTTTATTGAAGATGCTCATGTTGCTATGATCATGTGATTACTGACCAGGTACTGCCTGGATCTTAGGCCAGTTGAGCTGCTTTCAATTTGACAAGAACTACATAACTGAAATCTTCCTTGATTTCTCCAAGATGCTACATCAGCACCCATTGGAAAGAAATGAAAAGGGAACTGACATTTCTTTCGAAACATACAAYATTAATTTTCCTATTCAATCTAAATTCAGCCAAAAATCTAAACAACTTCTTAAAGCACTCCCACACTAAATGAAATTTCAAATCGCAAATGAAAGAAGGAGTGTTCCTTAAGGCAAGAGCTGTCACCAGTCACAGCCTCACTAATAAAATTCACCTCCACCTACAGGGGCTGCCATCAAAAAAAAAAAAAAAAAAAAAACTTCTCTAGATTGACAACTGTGCATTACTAATATCCTCAGATTTTATCTCTTCAGTGCCCTTGAGTTTTCCAGAGACAAACAGGAGAATGAATGTGACCTTGGGTATCCAGCACCCAACCCTCTGGCTGGAGAGTGACACCTTCTGCAACAGGGCCACCTGCTGAGGGTTGGGCAATGCTTGGCATCAGGCAGCAGTTCTGAGCAGTGGGCCAGTCACCGACAGCAGGCTCCATTTCACAATGGCCTCTGATGGGTCTCCACACAACAAAATGGGCCAGCACTTGCCAGCAATTAAGAAATAATGGCATGGTGCTGGTGCTTTTGGCAGAATGGGTTTTCTGTGAGTCACATGCCTGTCTATTTTGTAGGAATATGGCCTATAAGATGGGTCACTCTTGCCCTCAGAACTCAGCAGGGAGTTATTTCTGCTCAGACAGGACACCTGGCCCCAGGTACTGAGCAGCCTCCAGCTTTGAAGCTTCATTAAGGAGATAAGTGGTGCCATATCAAATAGAGCAAGATGTCACCTTCCCTCCCCCAAAGCTGTCTTCCAGGGAGTTCACTGACAGGCTGGGTGAAGGAGGAGAGGCTCTCAGCTCGGGCAAATTGGGAAGTAATCAGAGGGAAACAAACTGACCCCAGTGGATGTTTGCTGTTCCAATCCACCCCTACTTGAAGTTACCAGGAACATTCGTTCCTTTATGTTCAGTCTGTGGGTAGCCAACTCTCTGTTCGATCTTTGAACTAACTCTGCAAATTCACATTATGGATTTGAGAATGTCATGGGTTTCTTCCTCCACCTGAGTTCTTTAGGCTTCTTTAAATTCCCCTGGCCTCAATGAAGTCCCAGCACTTGCCTATGACATTAAGTGCTAAATCTCGGGGTACAAAGCAGGACTTCTCCCTCACTGATATTCTTCTGGTCATAAAGCAGAGTGCTGATTGTAAGGTAGGGTATACTGACTGAAGAAATGACTGCCATACATAGAAATGAAGTGGTTGGGAATTAGGTGTGGATGGGATCTAAAAATACATCCACATTTCTGGGCCAAGCAGTTCAATAGATGCTTCCTGAATACATGAAGGAGCTTCCTTCCAGAGACCCACTGCAAACACATTGCTTATTCTGAAGAAATATCCCTTTGCTTTTTAACCTTCACATTACATCTTTTAACAGGCTTTTGTGTGGCATGATGAATACATGCATGCACATACATACATGTGTGTGTATGTGTATGTGTGTGTGTGCATGTGTATCTGTATGGTGAGGCAGAGAGACTGGAACTGGACCCCAATATGTGGCTTCAGGCCTGGACAGCTCTCAATGTAATACCTTGTTGTGATACTGCAGCATCTGAGTGATGATTCTGATCTTCGGGTGGTAGTTCTTTATGGAGATTACTCTGAAAAAGAGAGAACAAAAGCTGAGGCAGGGCCTGTCATCCCCATGGAGGCTGCTGGGAAGATGCATTTGATTATCTCCAAGTGGGGTTCAAGGTAGGACCAGCAGCCTGCGCCATCCAGGGGGCTACAGGTACTAGGGAAGGTTAAACTATGCTCCCACCACTACCTCTGGGTGGTTTGAAATGGAAATCRCAAGACAGCTACAGTATGTATCTTGGGCATGAAAAAGACAAGGGAACCCTGCAATGGCTCAATGATGGCATGGGAGCCTGTGTGGGCTAATGGTGGGAGTTTGGGGACCAGGGTCACTGCCTACATAGACATCGAAAGCAAGTTCAAATCATGGTGCCTCTGGAGTTCTGCAATCTCCCACCCCAGGGACCAGCCTGGGGACAATCTGCTCAAGTTAACAACTTGAGACAACAATGACAAATCGCACAAGCTGCCTGACAAATGGTTCTAATTGTCACACATACTTGGCCACACTCATGCACATGATTTCTAAACAAGTCTCTTAAGAGCAAGGACTCAGCCTTCCAAAGCTAATAGAGTCTCATTGATGACTTGAACACTGGTCAGAGATAAGTGCCAGCACCTGGTGGAGGTCACAATCTGGCCAAAAATTCCCTCCCATTTCCCTCAGTCTATATTGGGCATTAACCACTGCCCAACCCTCACTGGCACTCCTGTTCCTGTCAATAACAATGCTGAAAAGGGAGGAGCAGGGAGCAGATGAATGGAAACACCTGGCCCCCAGTCACAGCTATTGTACTAATGAACTGGGTGACCTTCAGGAAATCCCTGGGTTCTCTGTTCCTGTTTCCTCATCTGGATACTGGGGGCAACAGTACCTGCTTTATTTACTTCACAGGCTTGGTATGAGTAGCAAATGGGAGACCAGATGTGAAAATGCTTTGAAATCATTAAAAGCTCTCTCCACGTGTAAGTTATGGTTTTTGTCATTACCGACCCTGTCAGGAGTGACATTGTACATTTCCTCATGTGACAAGGAAGGCTAAAGAATGGAATTCCACAGAAAGCCCTACCTCCTAAGCCTAATCAGAAATACAAGTGCCCCTATCATGCCCACCCCCACAAACTTCCCACCAAGCAGCGCTCCCCTCCACTTCGGCCCTTTTTGTGCAAAGATGGAGAGAAGGCAGCCTGTGAGTCACTCTATCTGAAAAGCTATAACTTGTGAATTTAGGGAATGGATCATGTGAAAGCCTCTCCTTGCACAAATCCACCCCGGGCTTTTTGCACTTGAAGGATTTCATTTTATTTTTGAAAAAGTGTTGTGTCAGGCCCCAGCATATAACTCAAGGACTTTGAGTCTCTGTCAGCCTTTGCGGGGCAGTTCATGGCATCAGCCAGTTTTCTGCATTAGCTCATTTCAAATGGCTCTTTGACATTTTAATTTCAAAAGGGGCAGATTGGTCTCATTAAAGTAAGGAGGGAGGAGGATTATACAAATAAGAGAAAAACGGAGCCCATTTTTAACCCTGAGCTTCTCGTTTCCTTTTGCTACCCAGGCCTTGGTTCTGGTACTGGTCCCTGGATGGATTAGTCACAATTCTGATACTACCTTTGTCCATGAGGATGACCACCTCGGCATCCTGCCAATCACCCTGGAACCTACCTATGTTTATTTTAACTTGATCCCCATCAGGGTTTAAACTGAATTTTTCAATGAAGAGAAATGCCCATCTCAAGCTACTTTTCAGTCAATTATTCATCTTTAGGGGGGAAAAAATGTGGGCCAGCCCCAGACTTTTCTGTGGGATCAAAACCTTAAGTGTTTTTTTTTTTAATTGTTGTAAATTTGAAAGATGATAAAGCCCAGCTCTTCTAAGGCGATGTTTTTGTCACTTAAAATGACAGAATAAAAAAATGGGTCAAATGATGAAAATGCTACTTACTTTTTTAAAAAGGAGGCAATGACACACTCTAAACTGAGGTTCCCTGGTGTAGTCACTTTCCAGCAGTGACTAGGTAGGRGATGGGCCCAGGTGTGAAGCCTCTCCCTACTCCACCCTCTCTGAGCCTGGCCTGGCAAGCCCAGTGCTTAAGAGTTCATGCATGAACTTCCTTAGACGGACTGCATCAAGTGCACTGCCAAAGAAAAGTGAGTGGGAAGAAAAGATCCCGCCAGATGCTGCCTGCCAGACACAGGGAACAGATGCTGTGGGCAGGACCTGCTCATCCCACATGCACCAGAGGAATTCCTCCAYACCACTGATGAGAATGCACATGTCACTTGGGGCCACTGATTAAAAGCAAAGACAAAGGAGATGTGAGCATTGGAATGACACAAAGGCAACTTCCCAACCTTCACCTTCAGGTAAATTCCCAGGACAGTAACACAAGYTGCAGGGAGAGGGGAGCCTTTGTCTGGATCAGAGGATGGCTGTTCACAATTAAGCCAGGGTTCCTGGGGATACAGGGCGGTAAAGTGTTTTCTCTGAGTTCATCCTCTCTCCAGAAGATTCTCTTGATTATTCCCTTCCAACTTAACTCGTCTACAATTTATGCTAGAGAGGAGACAAATTCCAAAAGGGCTTTAACTACCTGGAACAAAATGTCTGGGCTTTTTAGTCATTTCATAATCATGGAATATAACTGCGAGTCTATGGAAAGAAGAAAAACAGGACAAATTTTCTTCTGCAAAGAGAGAAGAACAAGGTGGAGCTGGAGCARGAATGAGCTCTAGATGGGCCTATCTCATGTTTAGAAAAGGCACTGGGAGGAGTTGTCCCAAAAGATCTCCCCCAGAAGATGCTGTGTTAAAAATTTTTTTAAAAAAAGAAAAGAAAATAGACAGAAAGAAAGGAGAGGAGAGGAGAGGAAAGGAGAAATGCTCTATAGAACATTAGCTCAGAGCTTCCTATTAGTACTAAAACTAAATTCATTGAAAAAGCTCTCAGTGAGGAACACAAATTTGGGGCAACTGGTTCAATCAAGCGATAACCTCCTTGTTGGGGTGATGCTAAACTTGCTATAGATGAGCCAGCAAAGCTCCAGCTTTGTGGGCTTCTCAACCTCAGTGCTACTGACATTTTGGACTGGATAATTCTCTGTATAGGGGTTGCCTGAGCATTGTAGGAGGATTAATAGGATTCCTGGCATCTATCCACCAGATACCAGCAAGACCATCCTCAACTTAAATCATCTCCAGACATTGCAAAATGTCCCCTGGGGGCCAAATCTGTCTCCAGTAAAGACATCTGGGGTTCACTTCCCCTTGGAGATATGGTACTTTTATCCAGACCTGCACTCTTCTAAATTTATCTTTTATTTTTAGTTTTGTCTCAAGAAATCTCAAGCCCAAGACCATCTGAGAGCCCCAGAGATACCATCTGTTAAGGCTGAGCTTCCTGGTGGTGCCCTGGGCTCCATTACTTTCCTCCCCACCACGGCCTCAGCTCCCCATCAGGCCTCTGTGGAATGACTTATTGGGGAAAAGGGATGGTCTCACAGATACTGTCCTCTGCAGACCCAAAAGGGCTGCACATGGGCCTCAGAGGGCCAAACCTAGAGCCTTCCCCAGCATCCCCCACCCACCCCAAGTTACCTCATGATGTTGGAGGCATCTTCTGCATCTGGGTCAGCACAGTACTTGTTGGCAAGGATGAGGCACGCATCTGCTGACTCTATCTGAGACACCAAAAGGAAAAATCACAGAACACAAACATATAAATAGCCATGCTCAACTGCAGTCTCTCTCTCTCTGTTGACAGTTCTTAGGGAACCTGGTGTTTTGCAAGGGCAGAAAATAAAAATTGTGAGCGATTATAGCATCTGTCAAAAGTGTAGGTTGCAAGTTCTCATTATATTATAAACATTTCATCTTATCGAGGTTGGTGGGTACAGAATGTACCTTGGTAATTACACATGTCATTTGGCATAGCCACTTTCACATAGGACTTCCAGATTTCTTTAAATACAATTAAGTAAGCCTTTCAATCCCCTCTCCATCTATCTCCTTTTTCAATTGTGTGTGCCATCATCCTAATTTTTCCAGCCTGGAAATCAAGGTTGGTGGGCTAACTCCCTTCTTCTGGGTAACCAAGTTAACAAGAGTAGTTTGGGATTCAGAAATTTAGACTTCAAAGACCTTCATATAACCCATCCCACATCATCATTATCTATGTGTAAGAAGAAATCAGAGCCCTCAATTAGACAACAACTCCGTATYGTTTGGTACTCATTAGTATTCAGATAGTCAAAAGACAACAAACCTATTATATGAAATGATTCATTACAGATGAACTCAAAATACAACCTACTGACTTATGTAAACATAAGCCAAGAGGGGTTTGTTCCTTAGAGGGAACCCTGAGTTTGATGTGCTAATAATTGCTTGCATTTAAATTAGGTCCATGAACAATAACTATTTTCTCTGTTCTCATAAGATTTCACATGAGCCATAACTTGGGTCATGTCTGGTTAATATTAAAATTAACTGGCCCAGGTTAGCATACTCATTCTTATGCTGGCTTGGGCCTGCAATCTGTCACACTTGGTATGCTGTACTTACTACCATTCCTGAATTTGGTGGAAGGGCATGGTTTCCTCCATGGTATGTCACAAATTTTCTCTACATTTCTTTAATAATGCAAAGAATTTACACAAATCCTTTTGGATTATTCATGATTGTCAATTATATAATTTACACAAGTATGTGGCGCCCACAGTTAGCCTTTAGACTTCAGTGGATTCCCATTATTAATGTACACCCACTGGCATGCAAATATTGACCATGTTTACAAAATCAATATTAAATGAATAAAGTAGCAGATGCCATTTTGCTATGTCCCCTTCCTGTCCTACCCTCCGGTATATTTTATGAGAAAAGTCTAATAGTAGATTCTAGAAAAAATGATTTTCCCATTATCAAGTGATGTCAGATACCTGCAAGTTTAGTTTTGTATCTTGCAATTGTGGGGGAAAGGAAGCTCAAGATGTTTTATGATTTCATACAATTTTACTTTATACCTTACCCTAATGTTTCTATGTAATTAATAGATGTTGGAGCTATCTTGAATCCAATTTAAGTATTCAAGGTAGGAATTAAGGATTATTTTGTTGAATATAAGACTCTTGAGTCTGAATGACTGGTCTACTTTCTTTTATATTGAGGGAACCAGCAAAATAAGTTTCATGTTAAGAGTAGTCCAAGCATGGAACACCTATAGGTGGCCTACCATGTGCCAGCAGCTGAGGTCCTAGGGCCAGTGGAAGGGTGATTTCAAGGTTGGTAGTGTCTAGTCAAGTAATCTCAGTCAGTGTTTAGGAGATGACCACTGGCCATCCAGGAGGCACATCCCCTGACTGAAGTCTGACTCCCCTGCACTCCCAAAGCAGAAGTCACCTCTTCTTCCTTACCTTGACTCTTGCAAGATCATGCGGATTGAGGACTGAACCCTGATAAAATTCCACCTGAGTAAAATGTCGTTTGAATAGAGCTTCAAGCTCCAGGTTAGGGGAAATGCTGCACAGGGAGAGAAAAGAAACAGCCATTGGTTATCATGGACCCAGGATCTCAGCCTCCATACCTCCCTTCTCTTAAGTGCCATAGGGAGACCCGGAGAAAGGGAGAGGCTCTGATCTTTAAAGGAGCCCCTTTTCTTATAAATAAAAAGATCACTCTTAAGAAAAGTAAAAGCCAAGCCCCAGGGAAAACCAAATCCAGTACCCAGGTAAAATAGCAAGGCTTTTGGCCTTTACAAAGGCTATGACATTTTAATTTGGCATGAATGGGGCCTCTCTTTTATGAGTGGAGAACTGGTTGTGAAATCAATGTGATGGCTAATTTCATGTCAACCTGATTGGGCCACCACAGCAAGTTGCCCAGTGTGATCATGAAGGTGTTTCTCAATGTGGTTAGAATTTGAATAAAGCGAACTCGGGAAAGTAGATTGCCCTTCTTGGTAAGTGGGCATCACCCCGTCCACTGAGGGTCTGAGTACAACAAAAAGAGAGAGGGAGGAGGAACCTGTCCCTTCTGTTTCCTCCCTGGCAACTTGCCTTGGGACGTCTCATCTCATCTTCTCCTACCCTCAGACTATTTTGATACCATTGGCTTCCCAGGTTCTCAGACCCTCAGACTCAGGTGGAATCACACCCCCATCTGGGTCTCCCATTTGCAGATGGCAAAGTGTGGGACTTCTCAGCCTCCACAATCAAGGGAGCTAATATATCTCATAAATCTCTCTATATAAACAGATACGTGTGTGTAGTTATAGGTAGATAAATCTATATAGAGAACTCTATCTCCATCTCTGTCTACTGAATCTCTGGAGAACCCTAACTAACAGAGTGAGAGATTAGCCACCACTTCACTTAGCCAAGTCACCCTGTACTGGAGCCCTTCCTCTGCTTCTCTGCCTCATGGATTTCTAATACCCCAAAACCCAGATCAAAAAAGTGTCACAGACAGACTTGATTTACCCCCAGGACTATTCTTGATTCACATACCCTACATATCACACTTCTGAGTGCTGAGCCATAAAGGTACCTTTCCCATTGAAGGACAATGATTTAAAAAGTGATTGGCCTATTTATTCATTTAATTCTGCAGAGCTGAACTCTAGTATTTAAATGTTAGGCAAATGTTGACTTTGCACAGTTGCTGGCACATAATAGGTTCTCAATAAATAGTGTCTCCTAGGCAGGCCCTACTCTCATTGGCCAAGCCTGCTGCTTCCTTCTCCATTGACTATAGTGCTCTGCGAGGAGGCCTGCAGGGTCATCATGACTTAGTGAATTCTGCCTGATCACCAACTGTCCCCATCCCCACCTCAGGCACTCAAGGAGGAGCACACAATGGTTGGAGGGTCTGGGGACAGCAGCAGGCTCTTACTTGTGAAGAAAGACAATCTCCACGTTGACATCGTCCCGATCCTTGTGCAGAAAGTCCTTCAGGAAGTTGGAAACACTTTCCAGAGTGATGTGTCCACAGACCACAATGTGCCTGAACAGGAGAGGCTAGTTAGATCAGTTCAGGCCTAGGACCATGACCCCTCCCCCCCACGCCCTGGCAAGGCAGAGCAAGCACAGCAGCTGTGGGGAAGGTTCACCTCCTCCCTCCACCTGGTAAAGCCCAGCACCCGTCCCTGAAGGGCTGTGAGGCAAAGCAGCAGTACTAGCAGGTGCTCAGAGACTTCGAGACAGAAAAAGCATATGGCTTCTCACCTGATGCCGCACAAAATCCTATTAAAAGCCTAACCGTTTGGCCAAGTGGTTTTATGCATTTAACAATAAGTGACATTATGCTTGCGCTTAAATGCTGCATTATCAAGTCCCTTGCAGATTCATATCTCTCCCTTTCTGCCCACAAAGCGTCCTCCCAGGAGATTTACAGTATGAGTCTTGGTTTATGACATAGAGCTTATCAGGTAATGAGATAACAAATCTTGCTGAAACGATGATTTTGTGTGTAAGAAAGCGGACTTTTATCAGGGTGGCTAATGTGCGGCTTGACACGTTATAGGCTCAGCTGGCCATAAGCAGTAAAAAGGAAATTTTGCATTTTTCCACCATAACTTCTCTGACAATGGGGGAATGTAACACTTTACAGTAAGTGAGCATTACTCAGGGCTAAATGGGGATGGGATGCTTAAGGAATCGCAGATCACCCGCTGGCTGCATGTCCCAGAGGACCACCTCTTCAGGGTGCTTGGGACTTCCAAGTGAGCCAAAGGAATTTGACTGTAAGATAGGGGGAAGCCAGGAAGGAATGAGGCTGGAATGCTTGCCTTATCCTAGGGTGGTTTGGACTTCTGTTTCCAGAAATAGTGGCTCTTTCTGAAGAGATGACACCCTCTCCAGAGCTGTAGTGACAACAGTTCCTGCARTATCTCTGGGCTCCTGGACCAATCTGACCTTGGCACCAGGCTTTCCCATGCCCACTTGTTTTGCCATGTGTTGCCCAAGCCAGAATAAGCACTTTGATACTAGAGTTAGCCCTAAGGCCAAAAGCCAGGGCCTGAATGTACAGTTGCAAGGGGGTCCACTCATCCTGTCCCTGTGCCCCTCAAGCTGACAGTGATGGGGGCAGGATCTCTAGCTGTGCTTTCCGAAGAGGGCAGGTGGTAAACATATAGYGAGGCAATTTCCTGGGTAAGATTTAGAATGGTCAGGTCCTTTGCACTTCATAATTGCTCTGTGCACATTGCAATAAGGCAGCATGCTCATTGGCTGGAGGCAGCTCATAATGGGAGGCAGTGATGATGGCTTATGTGATGTTCCATTAGCTGCCATTACAAGAGCCTGCCCTTTCGTGGTAATTTGGTGCTTGACTAAGTATGTGAGAATAATGCAGTAAACTCATTGGTGAATGGATAATGATGCAGAACAAAGAGTAAATCAATAATATGCACGATGCAGTTAATAATATCACCATTATGGACTGTTATTGTTACAGTGATGCACTTAGCGATCAGGTGAGCAGTGGCCATCAAGGGGGAGGGAAGAGTGTCACTGAGCGCCTTCAGAAGAAACAACTTAACAAGATCACTTTGCCCTCTAGCCAATACCTGCTAGATTAGGGGAGATCCCTTGGCAACTCATCCAAATTCCATCCTTGACCCCCTCCTTACTATAAGGCTGTGAAATATACATATATAAGAAGATATAACATAAAGACTTAGATTATATATTTTATTATGTCATATCTTACAGTGTTTCTTGACTATGACAAAACAGGCTGCCCCTGAATGTGCATGTTCTGAATAAGATTTCCAATTGTGAATTCACTAGGTATGCTGAGAAAGTGACTGAGAAACAGGATTCCCCTCTTTACTCGCCTCTGCACAAATGGTAATAGGTTTTCTTGGTGCCATGTTAACGCTTTCTGCCTGCAGACGTCCAAGATTAAGTACAAGGCCACCATAAATCTGACTATAGGTATCCATCCCCATAGCTGAGGCTGCCATTTCTATGAGAAAGCAAGCCAGACACAAATCCCTGCCCTGCTACCAAGGATGCACGGCATCCAGGGTAAATTCCTTATTCCTKTTCAGTGCATGAGGAAGATGAGAGGTTAACACCACCCCATCAGCCTCCTGCACCAGGCACTGTGAAGTTAAAAGTTTCATACAAGCATATGTCTGGTTATTATTCAAAGCCAGACTCAAATCAATGATAGGTCTGAGGAAATGCCCGGACATTCATCCTTCCTATCCTGTACACAAAGAAGTGAATGAACATCTGTCAGGAATGCTTCTTCCTCTTCAGAAATGATCCATGCCTAGGAGAGACGTGTGTGAAGTGGCAGGGGAGGAGATGAGCTGCCCTCTCACCTTCCAATCAAAGGCTCAGCTGGCTGATTTATTCAGTCTTAGAAAAAGTCAGGGTTCTCTTACTTGAAAATGTGCCGGGTACTTATAAAATATATTCCAATGCAATCAATATTATCCCTTAAGCCCTTAATTAGCTTTCACTTCTCTTAAGAAGTAGACAAATGCTGGCAAGAGAGAGGAGAAAAAAAGAGATTGACTTTTTTTTCATTTGGTGCTAGCTGTCCAATACCATTCTAGACAATTGAAAATATATATCTTTTAGCTACAGCATGATTTCTGGGGTAGAGAAGAGTCCTTATCAAAAAGGAAGAAAAAAAAATCTTCCTTCAACATAATTGGTATTTTTGCTCAGGAAAAAAAAATGAGATTGATTGAAAGCAGATTGCCTTTTTTTTTTTCTTTTTTGCCCAGGGAGAGTTATTAGGTACATTATCATGGCAACCTTGAAGAACCCATATTGTTCCAATCTGTCCTGTATCTGATTTGAAGATTTATGGCCTCCCCCTTTCGTGCCAATAATCATTTCCTCCATTTTGTTTCCCATACAGTGGAAGTTATCAAGGAGCTCGCATATTGAAAATGTTTGAATGCAGTTAGAATTGATGAATGGGAAGACACCCACTCGGTGACCCAGCATCCGCATTGGAGGATCTGCCCCCGCCAGCCTGTGTCTGCAGAAGCACCAGAGGCCCTGAAGGAGCACAAGGATGGATGGTGAACAGGGAAAATTTATTTTCCAGAAATATTTTCCGCATTTGAAAATTCTGGGGGCAGGAGCTTGGGGAAGAGATGCAAAATTTATGGTATCCTCGATTATTCAAAATATGATTGAAAATATTGTAAGACTGAGAGCAGGGTGTGCCCTCCGTAGAAGCAGTAATGATTACTCTTATGAAATGATTTGAAGAAGGCCAAAAAGATCCCTAACCAAAATGATCTCTATTGGGTTCTATGACACCAGCAAATTTACCAAATGAGATTAAGACTCTGATATCTGGCACTAAATAACTTGTTTTGGACAAGGGATCAGTTTTGCATTTTACAACTCACAAGACAGAGTCTTTGAGGAGCTGGAGCTAGCACATAATTCATGAGGTTAGCCCAAGAATTGATTTAAAGAGACGATGTAGGTAAGGGCCTAGCAAAGGGCTTGCACATTGTAGGCATTTTAAAATGGCAGGAGTCAAGTGACATCTTTTGCCTCAGTGTGTGGCAGAAATAAAGTGTTTTGTGCCCCTTAAAGTCTCACTTAATCCTCAAAAAAATGTGTGTTCCTACTATCTGCAGCTTTTCAAAGGACCTCTCCGAACCTGAGTCTCCTTAAGTCCCATGCCTGACGCCCCACAGAAAGTAAAAGTGACTTTCCCAGGATGCAGTCCAGGTCTCTGACTCTAATTCTAAGAGCGAGGTGGTAGGGGAAGGCTGTGGCTATTTCAGCTCCTGCAGGACAGGGAGGACTGGGCCAATAAGAGGTTCTTCTGGATTCATGGTGAGTGCATGTCCCAGGGGCCCTCAATGGTTCAGAGGAGATGTTTGGTGAGATTGGGTGGGGGATACAGAGATGAACCTCACTTAAAACAATATCATTAGAGATTCTGGCTGCATGTGGTCAGTTAGGACAGAGAGTTCAAGACAGCAAAGTTTGAACTATACAGAAATCATAAATCCTACTGGTCAGGTCTACACCCAAATTTTAAATTCATTAATACATTTTGGTGAACCAAAGGTCTACAAAGTAGTGTAAATATCTATTTAAGACAATTGTGCATCATGTCTAGTTTAGGATGTTCTCACCACTCCAGGAATCTGGAGAATAAGAATATATATGAGCCATTTACAATGAGGAATATTTAGACAAGTTAAGCTCTGAAGTTATCTAAAGTTGCTCCCATCTGTGGCTCTGGATGTAAACTTTTTCAGCCCTCTGGCAATCTTCAAGACTGATTTCTATGGGGCCTGAGCACTTGGTTTTTGAAGATGGTCAACAGACTTAAAATAATAACCGTGTTTGATCTGATGATTTTTTTTTTTTTTGGCTTTTAAAGGTTTGTTTAGTTCTGTGAGGAAATATTTCTTGGGAAAAGGTAGCATAAATTATTAATGATAGACTTAAAAGATCCATCTCAGATACACAAGGAAGCATCTTAAATGCCAAAATTGAGACAGATGGCATTTTCTGGAAAGGAGTTAATGATCCAGTTAAGAAGCTGGAAACACTGGTGAGTCAGGGAATAGCCATGGTATCATGTGGTTGAATGTGATGTTGTAAGAAAAAGGATATTTGACTGGACATATCACCAGAAAATTACCACCTGCCTATTTCCTGGGCACATCTGCATTAAATATACGTTGCAGTGCATCTCCCATTATTAAGTATCAGAAACGCAGCCCCTCACATCCTCCTCAGCCATTCTGCTCCCTCCTTGGTGATGGGCCAGGAAAGCTGGAATGCCCATGTTTCACTCAGTTCCACAGAGGTCTCCTAGGATGCACATAGGACAGGAGGGGCAGCTACCAGAAGGGAATGTGCTTATGAATAAGGCACCCAGAGATCCAGTGAGGATGAGTTTAGTTCAATTTTAAATGGAAATTGACAGACTTTTAAAGAGCATCAGGTAGTGGTTTTTAGAGCCACTAGCTTTGAAAAAGTGAACAATGACAGCGTGATACC